CCTACATTGACCTTTATTATCTTAGCAGTACGAGACAGAACAAGGTGTGGACCGGTGTAGGGCTGTTGGAGCGGTCTTCGCACGGTGTCGTCTCTTAGGAAAACATGGCTACATTTACTGAGCTCTGTGTGGACGAAGGTGCTTTGCCTAATGTGGTGCGACGCTGGAGTTGGGCGAAGTTTCCTCATGTGGTCCCGTAGTTTTTCTACAAAAGTAGTGGGTTCTACGGATCTGTCGATATTGCTAAAAAAGAATTCGCCTGGGACTTTCAGTTGCGTTCCGTAGGTCAGCTCTGCTGGTGAGTGTCCGATGTCTTCTTTGATGGCTGTACGTAACCCTAATAATACTGTAGGTAGAACGTCTAGCCAACTTTCCGCTTCATGGCACATGATGGCTGCCTTCATGGTTCGATGCCATCTCTCGATAAGGCCGTTGCTCTGGGGCCTATATGGCGTCGTCCGAGAGCGCTGAATGCCCAAAATTTTCGCCAAGGCATTCATGGTGGATGCTTCAAATTGTCGCCCTTGGTCGGTTGTAATTTGTCTTGGGCAACCGAATCTTGAAATCCATGTTTCGTAGAATGTCTTGGCGACTGTCTCTGCGGTCATGTCGGTCATGGGTGCGATCTCTGGCCACCTGGTGAAACGGTCAGACATAGTGAGGCAATACCTGTAGCTTTGAGAGGGAGGTAGCGGACCTACTATGTCGATGTGCACGTGTTGGAACCGTTCTGTGACGTCATCGAAATGCTGTAATGGGGCTTTGGTGTGTCGGCCAACTTTGGATCGCTGGCAAGGGATGCAGCTTCGTGCCCACTTCATTATGTGACTCTCCATAAATGGCCACACAAATCGCTTCTTGATGAGCTTACTGGTCGCTCGGCCGCTGGGGTGTGAGAGGTTGTGAAATCCTTCAAAAATTACTTTTCTCGAATCTTGTGGAACGTATGGTCTGACCACCCCCGTTGACGTGTCACACCAGATAGCCTTCTGGCCGGCCTGTGGGGTGAGTTTTTCTAACTGCAGGCTTGTTGTATCAGAGTTTAAAAGTGTTTTTAGTTCGGCGTCTTTTTCTTGTTCCTTGGCTAAGTCGTCGGTGTCAATGAACGTAGGAATTGTGATTTCATTGACCCTTGAAAGTGTGTCTGCAACTGTGTTTTGTTCACCTGAAATGTGGATAATGTTGGTAGAAAACTGGCCGATGAAATCTAGCTGCCTGACTTGTCTTGGGGATGCTTTGCCTGCTTTCTGCTGAAACGCGTAGACGAGGGGTTTGTGGTCGGTGAGTATGCAAAAGTCTCTGCCTTCCACCATGTGCCTGAAGAATTTTATGGTTTCGTAGACTGCAAGCAGCTCACGATCGTATGCGCTGTAGTTGCGCTGCTCCTTGCTAAGTTTTCTGGAGAAGAAACCTAAAGGTTGCCAGGTCCCATTGGAGTGCTGCTCTAGTACGCCCCCGATTGCGTAATCAGAAGCATCGGTGATAATTCTGAGCGGCAGATTTTCGGCGGGATGTGCCAGAAGCGCGGCGTTGGCTAACTCTGTCTTGCACGTTTCAAAAGCAGCTTCAGCTTCCTCTGTCCATTCGACTATTGTTTTGTCATTCTTCCGCGCGCTGTTCAGATATTGGTGAAGTGGTGTTTGGGTCTGGGCTGCGTGGGGAATGAAACGTCGGTAGAAGTTGATCATGCCAAGGAACCGTCGCAGATCTTGAACTGTCTTTGGTTTGGGGAATTCGCGGATTGCACTGACCGACGTCTCAAGTGGTTTGGTTCCACTCCCGGAAATCGTATGTCCTAAATATTTCACTTCGGCTTCACCAAACACGCACTTGGTCGGGTTAATCACTATGTGATGCTCCCGTAACCGAGAAAATAACATTTTTAGATGTTCGACGTGCTCTGCTTCATCTCGGGAGAACACTAAGATGTCGTCTATATACACGTAGCAGAAATCAAGGTCACTTATTAGAGAGTTCAGGTGTCTTTGGAAAGTCTGCGCGGCATTACGTAGTCCGAACGTCATAACTGTAAACTCGAAGAGCCCGAACGGAGTGCACACGGCTGTTTTAGGAACGTCTTCTTCAGCCACGGGAATTTGATGGTATGCGCGCACTAGGTCTATGGTGGAGAACACACTTTTACCTTCGAGTCTGTAGGTGAAGTCCTGTATATGAGGGATGGGGTAGCTGTCAGGCACTGTCACGTTGTTTAGGCGCCTATAGTCGCCACATGGACGCCATTCACCAGGGAGTTTCTTTGGGACAAGGTGAAGCGGACTAGCCCAAGGGCTCTTGGATGGTCGGCACCAGCCCTGTTCCATCATATATTGGAATTCGGCTTTCGCCACTCTCAACTTCTCGGGTGCAAGCCTGCGAGGAGCTTCTGCGACCGGGGGACCTCTGGTGATGATGTGGTGGAACACGTTGCCCCTGTGCTTCGTTCCAGGTGGCGGTGGGCGTGTAATTTCTGCGAAATCCGCTAGCAGTGCGTGATATGGCGTCGTCTTGGCCACTGTCGTGATCTGAGGCGACTTGCATATAGCCAGGGTTCCGCGAGTTGATAAGAGGGTGGCTGCGTCTACGAGGCGTCGGTTGCGGAGATCAGGTAGGAGGTTGTGATGCCTCAGGAAGTCTGCTCCGATGATGGGTTTGCCTACGTCTGCCACTATAAATACCCACTTGAACGGACGTTTCAGCTTGAGATCAAGGAACATTAGCTTTTGGCCGTATGTTCTGATCGCGCTGTCGTTGGCCGCGAAGAGCGTTGTCTCAGCTGGGCTGAGATGTTGTCTGCCTGAGAACAATCTCTTGGGTAACACGGAAACTTCTGCCCCCGTGTCGATTAAATATCGGGTACCTGATTTTGGGTCGGTGATGAAGAGGCGTTGTGTTTGCGCTGCGTCGTGGACCACCTCAATCGTCGACGGCGCCTCTAGTTTAACGGCCTTTTGTAGTCACAGGGTTTGGCGCATCTTCTGGCGTTTGCTCCGAACCGATTGTGATAATAGCAGATATTATCGTCCTGCGGATTCGACCTTGACCTAAATTTGGCGCGATTCCAGTTTTCGCCTTGCCCATGGCGCCTTCTGTCGTCTGCGAGTTGGTTTACTGTGGTCGATAAAGTTACGAACTGCTTCTGCAGTGCCGTAATGGCGGCAGCCATTCCATCTTCTTGCGCCGATGTAACGGTTTGAGAGGCGTGCGCGGAGGTACCGCGATTTAGGGCACCAATATTTGCTGTGATGGCGCTGGTATGGTGGATTTCGGTCAATTTGTCCGCTATGGTCGCCATTTTGTCCAGCGTTTCTTTATCATTTGCGGCGAGGATCATCTGTAGTTGTGGGGGTAAACGCTGCAACCACAGAGTCTTGAGGACGTCACCGCTGATCCCCTTACCCGCTAGGGCTTCCATTTCTCTTAGTAGTTGTGACGGCTGCTTGTCCTCTAACTCTATTTCGTACATGAGCTTCCGTAGTCGTTTTTCGGGGGTGTCTGCATAGGCGGCGATCAATCTGGATTTTATGCTTTCGTACTTTGTCTCTTCTGTTGGGGGGTTGGCGACCAAATCGGCAACCGGCTGGAGCGTCGCGCAGTCTAAGGCGGTTACCACGGTCCAGTACTTGGTCTGGTCGGACCTGATTCTCGCGCAATTAAATTGGGCTTCGACTTGTGCAAACCAAAGCACCGGGTCTCGCTGCCAGAATGTCGGTAGCTTCAGATTTGAACCACTTCTTACCTCATCAAGGGCTTGTTTGTTGGAGATGGTAGCCAGTTGTGTCTGGAACTGGCAAATTATTTCTTGTTGTTCCTGCAGTTTCTTTTGCATTTCTTCCATGGTGCTAGCTCTTCCTATTTTCTTTCCGGGGTCACCAATGTGGAAATGACTAACACCAGGTAGGGTTTCTCTATAGTTTATTTACAAACGGATATCTTACACGTGGAACAGGAGACGGTACCCATCTTCTTCGTTTCGATGTCGGCGGCAGAAGGGAGTACTTGCCGTACTCGCGCCTCCTTGTGTCCCCAGTTGGTCTCTGCGTCGGCGCCAGGTTCACCAATCACGAGTGGTGTTCGGTGAGCATATTGAGTTGCCTACTCGTAGGCGAGAGGAAGTAGTACGTGTGCGTTGTGTTGCCTACATCAACATCACAGCAACGCCACAAGTTTATCGCCTCAAAATAGGGCTAAAATTATTGATGAAGCCACAAACGAACAAAATGTTTTGAATATTATTACTATTATTATTATAATTCTTATTTTAGCATTATTAAATAAAGACGTGCGTATTCTCACATTTTCGAGAAAATGGGGTCACTCGTTCTTAATTTGATCAATAAAAAATTAGAGAGTGATTAATTGTATTAAATTTATTTTGTCTAATGAAAAAAAATCTGCCACTCGCGAGTTTCAATCTGTCGCTCTTCTAAACTCATTAGAAACCTACCACTTTTCTTTGCTTATTTAACAATGTACTATTCATGTTTTGAAAATTAGAAAAAGGAATTCATAGGTACACATGTGCAATCCTACATTCTTCCATATGGAAATATAGAATGACCTCGTAAATATCAGGTGGTGTAGTCTGACTAGACAATTTAATCGCGTGTTTCTGTAAATAAAACGAATGAGTTGATCAATAGTAATAAACATTCATCGATAAGTGTAATATTAAAGTTACGTTTAACATATAAAATATTCAAGTACCTGTCCGAACAGTTGCGTGTCAAATCCCAAGTATAGTACAGCGCTTTCTCTTGTGTTTTTATTTATCCCTATTGCTGATTGTGATAACTGTTTTCCAACACAATATTCTAAATTAAATATCGATTATCGTTACTACACACGCACATAAAATTATTCTTTCCCATTTGAGGAAGCGTCCTTACTTAATGAGCAAGTCGTTATTTCTATCGATGCCAGCATATAATGTACGCATAGGAATTTTATTTATAAAAGTTTATTTGTATAAATAAGCCTTACACATTGTAAATTTGTTACAGATTCACAATGCGAGATTTGACACGAACCAACAGCATCTGTCCACCACCAGAGACTGTTCTTTTGGAAAGCGTGAAGAAAAATGATGTAGAAACAGTAAAAGGACTAATTAACTCCAATAAACATCTCCTGACCTACGAGTACCCATTTACTTCGAAAACAATATTATTAACCGCTTGTACCGAAGCAGACGTTCAACCTTCAACTATCCAAACGTTAATAGATCTTGGAGCAAATCTGGAAGGGAACGCAGATTGGAAACCTCTGCATTTAGCTGTTCAAAATCCAAATAGTTCTACTCTAGAAGTTATTCTTAAGAATATTGATGCAGGGCAAATAAATGATACTGTCGAAGGAAACACTGCACTACACAGTTTGGTTAAAGGGAATGCCATCAGAGAAAACGAAGAACAATTTTGTAAAAACATCGAGTTGCTTTTACAAGCTGGAATTAATATTAATCAAGGGGATGGAAAGAACTTGTCTGCTATATTTTGGGCCGCCAAAAATGATTATCAACATGTTGTCAAGACAATTTTGGAAACCAGTATATGCCATGTAGACTTAGATAGTCATAAACTTAGAAATAAAACTGCAAGAATCCTTATTAAAGAAAAAGGGTTATATAATGGACCATTGCCAGAGCGAATTATGTATCAAATTCCTAAAGACAAAATATTCTCATTGATTAAGTTGGCACAAGAAGATGAATTTATCCGTTATTTTAACACGTTATCGTTGACAAATCCTAGTGATTTTATTAATTTGGATGATGGTACTTCAACTTTACTACAGTATTGTTGTGAGAAAGGTTTAACAAAAATTGCCAAGTATCTCATAGAGAGAGGTGCAAAAGTTAACAAAATCATAAAAAACCACGATAAAACTCCTTTAGAACTGACTGCGGAAAACGGCTACTACGAAATCCTGGAAATGCTCGTAAATCAAACGGACTTGGAAATTCCTCCTAGCGTGTTTTGTTATTTGCTAAAACACTCGGATAATGCAAAATTTGACAAAATCGATCACGAAAGATGTTGTCAAATTATATTTAAAAAGTTGGAATTAAATAAAACCCTCATGGATGTCAACGGAGAAGACGAACTGAAGAATACTCCCATTCATTATTCTCTACGGTATGCCGACGAAGCTACAACTGAAAAGTTACTCAAACTTGGAGCATCTTTAGCTTGTAAGAATAATTTTGGAATCATGCCGATTGAGGATATTAAACCAGAACTTCTGGAACGCCATCTAGATGAGTGCGTCAAATTTAATGTTAAGAATAAGAATGACGAAAAGCGGGACTTTGAAGTTGTTTTTGATTATCACAGTTTAATTCCTCCTAGAAATTACAAAAACAGTAAATTTCATGAATCTGATCCTGAAGATGTGAGAAATAATAATGAAGTAGTACCTGAAACTGAAGTAATAGCATATATGAGTAGAGCTCCTGAATTTCGGGCTTTACTTAAACATCCCGTTATTGTTAGTTTTTTGTTTATGAAATGGCATCGCATTCGTTTATTATTTTACACAAACTTATTATTCTATTTTATGTTTGTGACATCTTTAATTTCGTATATTTTTACTTATTATGCATATTTTGATATCGAAAAACCTTCTGATTTTGTCGTTGGGCTCAGTAAGTTATCTTGGGTCACACTTAATCTCACTTTCTGGCTTTTGGTTCTACGGGAAATATTTCAAATGACCGTGTCGCCAACAAACTACTTCAAGAATTTTGAAAATTTCGTTGAAATTGTCTTAATGATTATAACGGGAATGATTTTGTATATTGATGCACCTACCGCTGATACAAGAAAACAGTTGGCTTCTATAGCGATTCTTTTGGCTGCCTTTGAGTTGGTACTGATGGTGGGACAGCACCCCAAACTGTCTACAAATGTTGTAATGTTGAAAACTGTATCAGTGAATTTTTTCAAATTGCTTTTGTGGTATTCCCTGCTAATTATAGCGTTTGCTTTAAGCTTTTATATTCTTTTTGCTAAATCATCTGAAGTATCTCCGAATGTTAATGGCACCACTACGGATGAAGAAGAAGAAGAAGACTTATTTACGGGCCCTGGAAAATCTGTCTTCAAAACTATTGTTATGTTAACTGGCGAGTTTGATGCTGGTTCTATTAATTTCCATACGTACCCCATAACTAGCAAACTTATATTTTCTCTTTTTGTTTTCATGATCACCATCATCCTTCTAAATCTTCTTAATGGTTTAGCCGTGAGTGATACACAAACCATAAAAAATGAAGCCGAATTAGTCGGCCATATAGCACGGGCCCAACATATTTATTACGTCGAAAGCATGTTACTTGGTAATATTTTACCTACAACACTGTTAAAATGTGTACAAAGTTTATTTTGCTGTTTCCCGTGCGATAGAAATACCACTTTTACATTTTTAACACCAATAGCCAGAAGAATTTGTATTTTTAGGGCTTCACAGAATTGTCAGTTGATCGTTTTCCCGAATAATCATGGAAAAATATGTTACGAGTTTGATGTGGCCTCGAAACGACCGCGAAAGTCGCTGGTTTCTTGTTCACGAAACTGCTCTGATACGTATCTTGATAAAGAAACCGTTAAGAGAATAAATGCAATCGTTAAAGTGAGACGCGACAAAATAGATGAATCTGCCATCAGCAATATAGAAAAATTATATGCTGAAATTGCTGCACTGAAAATGAAATTAGATGATTTCCTGAACACTTGTATACAAAATAAAAATGAATTTAAATAAACAGATTTATGAAATATGAAACTAATTTGACGTTAACAAATGCATATAAAAAATGTTGCCATACATGTTAGATTTTTTAAGAGTTACTATATTGTGTACATAATTTATTAATTAAAACTATCTATTTATTATTGTAAGAAATTTAAAAGCAACAAAACTAAAAGAGCATAGTGTAATTTTGTTAATTGCAAAGAATCGGTAAATATGCTTTTGAGCACAGAGTAATATATCTATAAATAAGAACAAGGTGAGAGACTGATATTTTTACCATTGTAGTTCACTCACAGTAAGAGAAGGGTAAAGTTTATAATAAGTTTAATTTTTTTATATTTTATTAAACCATGTTAAGAAATTAAAACTTGATTTTTTTGTGATAATATAAGTTTTTGATGTATCCTATATTAACAAATACATTTTATTTTATTCATACTTGTAGATATTACACATTATGTGATTACGAAATACTTAACCTTAATAAATATAATTTGATGTTTAACGCAAAACTTTGCAATTTAGGACTAAAATGTCACTTTTAATTCCTAGCCCCCTGAAAATATCTAAACTAAAATTAACTTACTGTAGTAACGGCCGTTAAACTAAATATCACTTATATACATAGATATTTAGATAAATGAATAAGAGTGGACAGTTTTTAGAAATAATTTATTGTCTGTACAATAACTACATATATTTTTTACAAAGCTCTACAACAAATGTTAATATTTTGTATTTGTGTTGTAGTTTTTGCGACATAGTTATATAGTCTGGATTCGTAACCGTGCGGTGTGGTTTATGTTATGTCCGTTTTTATATCAGGTAACTATTAGAACACTGCCATCCTGGATGTCATCAGTAGTAGATCAACCAAGATGCAACTATAACAACGGAAACAACAATTTCTAAAGACTTACGCTGAGCGAAAAAAAAAACTATTATTATGTGGCAATTAAAATGTACAATCATCTCGGTGAACCAATAAAAAAAATAAAAGATTTGAATATATTTTAAAAAGAGCTGTACAGATTGTTACTGCAACTAGAGCCATACAACTGGGACAAATTTTATGATTACAAATATTTAACATAACACTAAGCCACAATTTGTTTTTATTTTTTTAATAATACCCCCATATATGTGTTATAAAAATGTCTGCGTTATCTACTGCAAATTATACTTTGTCTTGTAAGTTTATCAATGTTATTGATATTTATTTATCTGACGTTTCTTGCCCTGTTTTTATATGATGTACCTGTGCAAGAATAAAGACATTTTATTCTATTCTTTTCTAATGGACTTGGTTGCAAATTGTGTGAAACTATAACTTGTCGAGAAAAAATACCGTTTCACAGGTATGTCTTACTTTTTCGTTTAATATTTGCTTAAGCGGGATTAACGATTATTCTTGGATTGATTTTAGATCTCCTCAGAAACCTGAATTAAAGAAACTGTGGACAGACTTTCTTTATCTACACCTGGGAAAATCTGTGCCCATGCTATGAACGGTACACAGAGATAGACGGTGCTGAAAATAGTTGACCTTAAAATCTCATTAATTAATAAATCTTATAATAAATGGTACCTATATGCACCGAATATTTTTTTTCTGATGTGAGTCTCAAAAATAAATATGTACTCGTAAATTGAAATCTGTTACAGATCAATGACTGAACACATTTTAAAATTACATTAGCGATCTGCCAATGTGTATAGGAGGAGGCATGGTGCAAGAAAACAGAAGTCTTCTTGTACCATGGGAGTCGGAACAATCTGAGGGTGAAGATGTGAACTAACTACAGGTGATATAAAATACCTAGTTAATTTACGATGTCTGCAAGATTTCCTTTTAAATTTTAGTATGTAAAAAATTCTAACTCTCTAATAAAAGGTGAAACTAGGAGAAAGTCTTTTTTTATGATTCGTTTTTTTTTATAATTCGTTTTGAGCAGCAAACCAGTTGATGACTGCAGTGCATAAATTGAAAAAACTCACAAATGTTTTATCCATTGCCGCAATATAAAATGCAAAGTGTTCAAGTGTAGCAATTAAAGTGCCAAAAACCACATCTCCATTGAAAACTTTAAAATGGCACAAAATTAAAACAGGACCTACGATTCCACAAAAATGTGCAAACAACAAACCTTACAGAAGTGGCGGATTTTCCTATGAGGTATCCAAAAACATACCGTAAACAGTTGTTTTAGGAGATCGAAATAGTGGAAAGCTATTGTTGTTCAAAAGAACAACTTTGCAAATTCTTCATTTCAAGTAAAATAATGTCTAGGTCATTAGCGCAGTTGACTCCTGAACTTGCATCGAAATAATCTGTAGTAAATAGTTTCCGAAACGCCCATTGGAACTGTATTGGTATGGGATTTACACAATTTCGAAATTGACGCCTCACGGAGCCAAAGAAATTTTCCAGATAATCCTAACTTGGTCGCAGCAATATTTTAGTGAAATTTGTAAACGAATTGTATTCTGTAAAAATTAATAAAAATAATAAGCAAGACGTTTGTGTTCCTGAAGTTGTTCTTTATTTTTCTGTGTGAGTGATTTAAAAATCTTGAGAGTTAATTAAAAATTTCATAATTCATTTGTGAATAATACATAACTTATTTCTCCGACTTGCTAAGGATTTAATAAACGCAGTGTAAAACGGTAAAATTGAATAAAAATTAATATAATCAATTTTTATTTTTCTGAACAATTATTAGTACTATACGAATGCCGCGAAATATTTGAATATTCGTGTTTCGCGAGAAGGGCCCCCAAGTTTACACTCGTTTCGCAAATATTGCCGCAGTTTCGGTCACGCACGTAACCAGCCTTTTATTTTGGAGGAGCCCAGCCTGGCCACTAATTTCAAATAATTGTTAATGTTAAATTATGCCATGCTTTATCAACAATTCAAACAAAGAATTTACATGATGTTAAATTTACGCCTTGATCCCAGTGACTGGTTACTTAAAAAATTCAATTTCGAGAGTTTATATCGTGAACTGTTCCACATTACCAAAAACAAACACATGAGAATTAAATACAAAATGCGGTTGAAGATCCACCTTTCACAGTCCTGTTTCCCAAAGTGGGACAACTTTAGGTCAATTTAAATGCCGTAAATGAACTATTAGCAATCTTGCGTAAGCAACTAAGAAGTGTTATAATGTAATACTTCAAGTATAAGCATCCAGAAACCTTAATTACAACTTAATAAACAAAAGAATGAGGTCTGAATAAAATGAAATCTCCTAGCAAGTGCTTTATCTGAACGATTTTATGACTGTTAAATTGTGTTAGAACCAGTAACGATTAAAATCTTACATGAACTGTGAATTTGGAAACAATAAACCAAAATTATACTACGTGTTAGCATTGGCCGAAAATTCACATATTTCCGATTAGAAAACCAGCATTAACTAGCTATGCTTGTTGGGGAAGCTTTTTTTTATCTACCAAAACAACTAAACTTAATCTAGTTACCTTATCGCGTGCTTTCACTTACTTTAAGTACCAAATAACATTGGTGCATCTCAATTCTCTACCAAGCAAGTCTATTTCACTACCAACCCTCGTACCAGATTACTACCCACAAATTTCCTAGACGAGCTACCAAACTACCACAAAAAAACCAAAGTTACAAATGGTTGCCTATGTTTAAAGATGTTCTTAATTTTTTTTTTTTTCAAATTCAAATTATTCAAACGCAATTTCGCGCCGTTGTTTTTTTTTTTTTTTTTCAGCGCGAAATGTTTAATTCAAATTTGGACACCACAATATGAAGATAATTGTACAAGCAAAAACTAGTTAAGATTTCTACCTATGCGGCGTATTTTGTCTATAAAATCAAGCTCCCATAAGAAACCCATGGTAGAATTTTTGAATTTTGAACTGGCGCGCAATTGTTGATTCTAACCTTACTTAAATCAGAGAACATACTTGAATGGCCGATTGGTATTGATAATAATTAGCCCGTTATTTATATAAATAACCGTCTCGGTCGGATTAAAGCCTTATGGTTCTTATTATTATAATGGTTTGTTATCCTGGATTACATCCTTTGGATTTTTATCCTGGATTATTGCCCAAATATTTAATTATTTTATGCACCCACTCACCGATTGTCCCTCTATCTGTAATACTTATTAGGTAATAGGGAGAGAGGGTAGATAATGTATGTTATTTGAATGAGAAAAATAAACATTTACATATTAAAGTTCTAGTTATAATAAAAATAGACATACAGTTCTATTCAATGAAAAAGCATACAGCATATTTAGAGTATGGTGAACCACAATTGTAAACGTTATTGTCAATGACAATTTAGTGACGACAAATATGACTCAATATTTGACTTTCCTCAAGAATGTTCACATCACGATCCGACTGGAAGATGATTGGTCAATTTGAATTGTTAACGGTGTAATAACCCAAACTTCCCGCCTTTAAATTGACCTTGAAAAAGTTTGAAAGGCCCGCGAAAAATTTAAAAATTCAAAGTTTGGCCTTGGCTGTGATCGTCTCACAAATAGGAACCTACGTTGTGTTTTTTTTTTTTGTTTTTGAAAAATGGCGGGATGACGTTCTTTCATACAAGTGAGCATATACTGCATGTGAGTTGAGAGCGCAAGAAATAATAGACAAAATTAGGGAGGTCGAAATCCTTCCTTAGGGGGAAAAGAAACGAAGAGCGACAGTGACTCAGCGTGCCCTTCTGGTGGTTCGGCAGAGTCAAGGCGTCATCGGTCTTCATTCCCAAAAACCCCCTGGGGTTTTATTCACCAAAATATTACATTTCAAACACCTTAAGATATATGAAAGAAAAACATTCGCGAATTGACAGACATACACATATGAAAACGAACAAACGTAAAATTCTATACATCTGTTTGGAATCAATGCAAATATTTCAATATCACAAATCTAATAAAACAAAACAAAAACTGAATTAAGTAACTGGATACAAATACACAAGTTATTACGGGCGTGTGGCGGGTGATTTTTTTAAGTTACGGCAGTTAACAGGAGCACAACAAAGGTACCCCTGGGGTGTTGTAGCACAAGCGGAGTTTGGGACCGCATTTCTCCGATTAAAAGGCCGCAAGAATTAACCGCGCGGGTTGGGAAGAACTGTGTCATTATGAAAGTTACGATTGATTGTCGTTAAACAAAGGCTTCCTCCCGTTTTATTAACTACCAAACCAACTAATTTAAACCTAGCGCTTACCATGTGGTTACACTCACACAAGCACATTCAGAATGAATCTACCCATGCAGTTTCTCTCTCTTTACCCATCAACCAACCCTGTAACTAGAAACCCCTAGCGCTAAATCGTCGGATTACCAAGCAAGCATTTCCGTGCGCCAGGTTGTCTATGTTTAACGATTTCCTTTTTTCTGATTGAATTTTTTTTTCTTTCAAATTCAAATTATTCGAATGTGATTTCGCGCCGCTGTTAATTAATTTCAGCGCGAAAACTTTGATTTAAATTCGGTCACCACAACGGTGATAAGAATTTAAACAAAAGGATAGTTTTAAGAATTAATAAACGCTGGGAACAGAACCAGTTATTATTACAAAAAACTGGTTCTGGCAGAGCTAAAAGTAGACGCTGCTCGTTTAAATCATTTAAGGCAATTTTAAATTATTGTCAGCATTACCTACAGTCGTTTCCAAAAAATTTCGGGCAAGATGAGCAAATCAGGTTCTCATAGATCAATAAAAAGCAATGGGAATATAACTCTCATGTCAATGTCATTTGCCCGAATTTTGTTGTAAACGACGGTATGTTATTTGAAATCACAATTTTCTCTAAGCGTACGTGTAATAAATTTTCGTGTGTTAATTTTACTCTTATTTTGACTTAGGTCTTGGAGTAATAATGTTACATGCAATTACAAGTTTTTATTATCTTTAAACAAATTTTGCTTATCGTTATTACCTAAAATTTATATAGGCAACCCATAATACAATATTAGACCAATTTACAATAGCAAAAATTATTAGAAAACGAACATAGAGTTGTACGCTTTTTCATTATTGAATACGACTGTACTTATAAAAATTTTAAACTACTAAGCAACAGAACTGAATTTTTAGTTCTTGATTCTCTTCATCAGTGTTGAAACACAGTAAATACTTGAAACTTCTTAACTACTCAAGTGAGAAAATTAAAAATAAATTCCTGTAAAAATCAAAAAACAACAACAAAGAGCAATGATAAAGCTGAAGTATAATACAACAGACTCACCATATTTTGCACATTTTATTTTTAGATAAATTTTTTAACATCTCAACCTTTAATCATTTCCCACATCATATCATTATTCTTTGCTCGTTGATACATGGAAATTTTTTGAACGGGTCGTGAACGGGTCTACGCTTGCGCAAAGGCGCAAACCCTTCCTACGATTTGTTTTTAATTTGTTGAGGTTATGAAAATGATGACAAATACACTAAATCCGTTGTTAGCTTGTTAATTGAAAAGTTTAAAAGTGAAAACTGACACTAAAATAATACGCATATTGAATCATGAGTGAATTTAAACTTCAACATTTAGTTGCAGAATTGTTAAAGTCATTAGGGTATGAAAAACTGTGTATTTTCCAGAATTGCATTCTGTAAAGTTCTCGTGTTTACAGAGGAAAAAATCCACCTGAAAAACTCGTGGACACTTTACAAAAAAGCATAAATAACAGCGCTGGTAAAGAATGTTCTGGTTCACAGATAGCAGTTCAAAATTATGTTCAACGGATTGCTGAAGATTTGAAAAATTCTGAACCTTTCCTTGCAAAGTTTGAGGATTTAAAACAGAAAAAGTAAGAACGCTTTGCCAATTTCTTTAAACATAAAAACATTCTTTGCAGTGTGGATTGTTTAGGACCATATGTACAACTTTTATATCAGATATCACAAGATCCTGGAGTTAAGTCCATGTTGTATAAAATGGCTAAACACACAGCATCTGAACAAAAATTTGAAATCACTAGGGATGATTTACCTCACGTAAAAAATCGTCTGAAAAAGGAAGCTTTAAAAAGATCACAGAATGATTCACACTCGGTCAGTATTTTGAATGTATCAACTACACTACCTAGAGCAACTACTCCATCCATGATTTCATGGGTCCAAAGGCGACCAACTTTATCATGGGATTTTTCTACACAAAGCTTCAATACTGTGTGTGCTACAGTACCTGCAGTATCCCAAGAAAATATACTCATAGAAGATCTCTTAAATGTTTTGATTGGTCTGCCAGGTTGTTATATAGAAGCTGAAGAACTGAATGATTTATATGGCCCAAGGACTTTTAAAATTAATGATAATGTACCTCTTCCATTACAAGAATTGGTTAGACAGATTTTACCAATTGCCAGTCATTATTCCATTATACAGAGATTTACAGAAGAGAAGATGCGATTTGAGTTTGGACAAGTGAACAATGCATTAGCTGAAGTAATGAATTCAATATTGAAGGAACATATTGTAAGTGTTTATAATATTATTAAGCAGTGCATACATAATTGACTTCCAGATTTATATAACACAGTTGCAAGATGAATTTTTAGCAGATAATTTGAATTTACAAAAGCTTTGGTTTTATGTTCAGAAAAGATTGCAAGCGTTGGGTGTTACAGCCAATATAGCTTCAACTATTAGTAAGGTATTTCTAATATTCTTATATGATCAGAATAATTTACACATGGGTCATCCTTTGAGTGAACACATATATTTGTGCGAAATTCAAATTGTCAGTTGATAATTTCCCATCCAAGGATGACTCTATTGCAAACTGATTTGATAAAATCATATTTTATTCATTGTAGTCAGATGCAAGAGGTGGGAAAGTTTTAAGTTTGCTTCATGATCATATAATAGGCTCAATTGGTGATGAGAGAACTCAACAAAGATGCGTTAGTTTGATGGAAGCTGCATGCTTGCCTTATATGAAGATGTTGGGAATGTGGATATATAGAGGAATTATTTCAGACCCTATTAGTGAGGTAAGACAAGTAAACACATTTTGATTAGTGTTTTACCATTTTCATTTTCATATTTTCAGTATGCTTAAAATTTTCAAGTAATCATTTCACTAGTTCTAATTTTTTGTATAATAAAATTCTTAACAGACATAAAACAGGCAGACAGACGGACGAGAAAAACCTACATTTTTCCATTTTGTCAACGAAAAAAGCTTAAGAAAACATAAAATTGGAACTTCCTCACAATAATTGCATTACAATGCTTATTTATTGCTGATTAGTAGAAAAGTTGTAATAATAGTCTATTACCAAATACATATACATATATGTTACAGGAAATGCTGGAAATACAGCGACTAACAATCACTAGGGAATATTAGCTCTTACTGAGTCAGTCAGTAAATAACATAAAAATATGACCAAAAAAACCCAACTTGCAGTAAATTACCAAAAAATTAAAAAACAAACAAAAACATTTTTATGATAAATATATGACAAAAAACATACGTAAACTATACTCAACGAACAAATAGGTAAAAAAACTAAAACATTTTATGTATGATAAATGTATGTTTTTGAGATTATGTTCACTGACAACATCGTAGAGCAGAAAGATACATATTTACTAAGGTTAGATAGTAATTGTTAACATTAACTAGGAAAAGTAAATTCATACCGTCGCGTCGTTTCCAAAAAATTTCACCCAAATGACTGACATGAAAGTCATATTCTTATTGCTTTTCATTGATCTATGAGAACCTGATTTGCTCATCTTGCCCGAAATTTTTTGGAAACGACTGTATTCGTATTTTCTAATTTTCACGGCACGTTTTAGTAAAGGTTAACTTTGACTAGCGAAAGCTAACAATCACTGATTTCCGGCTTTCCCTGAAACATATATATATAGTGAACCAAGAGCTATAAGGTTATATGGCCATCATAAAAGTAGTTGCCCGCAAATAAATACCCCCTTTGTGTGGTTCGCACTAAGCTTACCGGTTGGCAATAAATCATCTTCTAAACATTTCTTGCTCATATTTAACAGGGCCGGCCTTCAAAGCGAGTGGTTATTTCGGAACCCTCAGCGGCTGCAGGTAGTAAAGAAATAGTGGAGTGGTGGATTTTCATATTTAGTGAAAGCCGCTCCTGAACGAAACCACAAGAGCCGGTCGAGCTGCAGTGGACATGTTATTTACGACCCTAAAACCTTTTCTATTGTAAACAACTTAACTTCGACACAATGGGATGATTTTATGATGGCCATATAACCTTATAACTCTTGGTTCACTATATATAATATTCATATCTTGCAATTTTCGCCTAGGTGGAAGTGTTGCGATTATTTGAAATCTAAATAGTCTTCAAATTGGTGCTGGACGAGTAACCTGTCTTTTTTATTTTGTCTGCTACTTATAACAGCTGCAAATCTATCCCAGCTAGAGGACGATTTTTAGTGACCGCACGTAATTTCCTATATAGGTATTAGTTTTGATCATTAATTTATTTTAATATTCTCTGTATGTAGAATGCATTTTTTTGTTAATTTAACAATTTACAAGGTATAAGAATTTCGACATTAAAATATAATAAAATTGAGACCGCATTAATACAATAGGAAATAATATGTGTCGAAAATATATCGAAAAAGAAAAAAATTTCAATTTAAAATTTTTCAAATGAAGCTGCCAAAATGATGATTTCAATAGATTCTTTGTAATCGTCTGATTTTTAATGTATTTTTTTGACAGCATATAAAAATTAAATATCATTTACCTAAATTTTCCCTGATGGAACGAAACAAATGTAGGAAAAAAAGATACAACAAAGATTACTATGTCTCTGATTTGTTTAAACATTTTTATAAAGTTTAATTTTGATTTTATTTCCTCAGTACTAAAAAACATTTTCATTTAATAGTTTCTCGTAAAAGATAATGAAGTTATACAAAAGGAAGACATGCCAGTGGACTATTCAGCTGATTATTGGGATAAAAAATATTCTATAGAAAGAGAAAAGATCCCAAAGTTTTTGGAATCTGTAGCTGACATAATTTTAAAAGCAGGCAAATATTTGAATGTTATTAGACAATGTGGTAAGTTTTTTAGAATATGATTTGTCTCGTCCTCAACCCGAATAACTTTAGGAAAACCCGTAAAAAATAAAGTACGCCCAATATTGTACAAAATCGAGGAAAAGCACTACATAGAAGCCATAGAAAATGCCTACAAATTCGCAAGTCAGATATTACTAGATCTGGTTTTGAAGGAGAAAGATCTGTTGGGAAGATTAAAATCTGTTAAGCATTATTTTTTATTGGATCAAGGAGATTTCATTGTTACGTTTTTAACTTTATGCGAGAAGGAACTAAGTAAGGATGTCGGAGACGTGATCCAAGGACGCATTGAGTCGTTAATGGATTTGGCTCTAAGATTATCCAGTGCTGTCAATGATCGGTACAAAGATGATTTGAGAACTGAACTGTTGCCATATGATTTACAATTTCAGATGCTTAAAATACTCACTATTCAAACAAATCTGGAACAAGGTAATTTTATTATTATTTCAAGTAATACAGTTACCAGACCAAAATGTGCTGATGATCACATCTATTAACTTCCAGATTATCGCACCTCCTACGATCGACAAAAACTTCTTGTAATTGATTCGTTTGCGTTCAGTTACGAAGTTCATTGGCCGTTATCTTTGATCCTGAACAGAAAATCTTTGGCTTGCTACCAAATGATTTTTCGGCATTTATTTTATTGTAAATATGTAGAAAGAATGATATGTCAAGTTTGGAAATGTAATAAGGTTGCAAAAAAGTTTCACTTTGAAGATGCACAACACTACAGAACTGCTTTTGCTTTGCGTCAGAGGATGCTGCATTGTGTTCAGAATTTGGAGTATCATATGATGGTTGAAGTAATTGAACCTCATTGGTGCATGTTTCTACAAAAAATTGGAAAGGTAGGCATGTTCCTGGTTCAAAATAATGTTAAAAATATTCATCTGTTGTAGGTCAATAACGTAGATGAAATATTAGCTTGCCATTGCGACTTTTTGGATAGTTGTTTGAAAGACTGTATGCTCACAATACCCCCTATTCTCAGGACAATAACAAAACTGCTAGCCATTTGTGTGGAATTTTGTCAGTTCATGCAGGTATGTAGATATTCATCAAATTCTTTAACAAATACACATCATAAGCTTACTGGCTGTTTACCGTTTGTGTTAGGTACGCTAAAATTTGGTTATTTAACATATTCTGATTTATTGTTTGTACTAATTTATAGTTGCATTTGTTTTGTGTATATTTGCTGCTTTCATGTACATTATGTTGCTCTTAATTATTTTACAACTAATCCGAGGTAAAATCAAGTAAAGTCGCACATCAGATACATTGTACACAATGCTGTTTTTAATCTAAGTTTTATTATTAAATTTTCATTTTATTTTTTCACTCGCTCTTCATAGCGGACGCAGCGATACTTTGTGGAAGCTGAACTCGGTTCATTACCAAACTCATTGTATGAGTCATTCAATCAGGTATTTGATTATTTTCAACACGTCACCAGCTTGAGCTTTTACATATTGTATATGTAATTTTTTACACATTGACCTAGCATGTGTAAAACCCAGTTCTTCATTTCATGTTCTGTGTGAAAGATAACAATTTGTAACGGCGTAAAAATTATGGTGGCTTTTGGTTTTCGAGAGTTTCCTTGGTACTGGTGGCATTGCAATATTCACTAGTTGCATAATTAATATTTTTAATGAACATACATTTTCCTTCGATTTGTCACTAAAACAATGAGTTTTGACCAAATTTCAAAATTGAGGAGAAAATAATCCTATAAATTGTGTATCTTTCACTCGACAATGAGTGTTGTACCCTGCTTTTCTTTTATTACTTCATGTTCCATTTGTTTTTTCGAAATAACTTTTTTATTGAATTGTCGATAAATGCCGTAAAAGTACCATTTGTAATACTTAAATTTCTTAAGATGAACCGGCACTGTCCGAACGAGTATTACTTGTCATACAAGACGATAAAGGGACATTTTAACTATCAACTGAAAGGTCTTAATTTATGAGTGGCGGTTCATGCACGAAAATTTAACACTTATTCATTTAATTTAAAGTAACTTAAAAGCAGTGCATGTACCTCTTAAATGATTAAATTACCAATGACGCTTGCGCAATTTGCATTCCTTAAAAATGCAATTGTCAAACCTGACGAACAAAAGACAAGTTGTACCCGGAGAGTATTTATTTATTTACAACATTGAAGTGATATATTTTTTCCTTCATGAAGAGAACATAAAATAATCAAAGATATGATTTGACCGTTGACGGACATGCGCAAACACATTTTCATTCAACTTACCACTAAAAGTTGTGAACTGGGCAACTTTAGAGTTACGTTAAATTAAATTAAATCTTCAATGTTCGTGCATGAACCCACTATTCGCCATGAGTGAATTATTTTTCACGAGATGTTTTTTTTTCCTTTGTTGTCGTGTATAATTTTTTTTTCCATTGCAGAAATCATTAATTATTTGTTAATGCTAAAATTATCCACCCTTTTAATAACTATTATGAAATAGTAAGTTATTGTTGTCATGGAATTATTATAAACAAAAATTTGTTTCGCCCTCCATTTCCTGATGTATCGTCGTAATAGTTTTATAAAATTTAATACTCCTAATTGTATTGTTAATAGTAACACCATGAGTAGGATGAATATTTGTAACAATTCAGACGATTTATTACTTAGACGAAATTTATGTTGCGACGGAAATTTCCCAAAAATATTCATTCCACCAGTTGTGTTTTGCAAGAATATTCCATGCACATAATACTAAAATACAATAATTATAAACAATTTTACATCAATCTATTAACCAACCTAGTTTAGCTGTAAATATGTCTTTATGGAACTCGATCTTTTATGTCCCGTTATCTTCATAGCTTCTTGTTCACCTATTCCAGATTTAATTAAATAGCTAAACTTATTTTTCTGCAGAGGTTTTGGTCCACTAAAAGTGTTTACTCCAGCTGGCGAATTTTTGTACCAATCGTCCACAACAATCTCTTTGTTGTAATGCTAATACCTCTTCTTGATAGTAATTTTGTGAAAAGTCGAACAGGACACAATACAGGATGTTCTGAATTCGTAAGGAGCCATTTCGTATTTGCACATGTTTGGCTTCCTCTCTCACATATCTTTGGAAAGGTGGGATTATAATTTAATTCTACCAGTTGGAGATCCTTTGTTTGATAACAAAACTTGATAGTTCATCACTGAACTAGTCCATCAAACAAGAAGCGGCTCCATCAAGTTCAACAGACGCCATAAGATAAAATTTCATCTGCAGATTTCCTGGTATTCTTCATAGTTTAACGCAGCAGAACTTTCTGTTTCTTTGGCAATCTTTGAAGTTCCTTTTTTTGGTATCTCAAGCTCTTGTTACCGACAAAAGTGTAACGCCCTTAATTCGATCGAATTTTGTACCAGCCTTTATAAAATATTGTTGTAATAATGCTGCCGTCGTGTTCCATATTGTTTTGATAACACCTTTATAATCGATTTGATCTAGCTTCCGTTTCCAAACATAATTCTTTGACCTTGCAGTATTCTTGGAGACATTGTACTCAATTAAGATCACATATCTATTGTGATTTTTTCAAAAATTTTTTAACGGTTTGTCTGTTAGAGCATGTTGATACTATTGTCATCTACACTTTAAAACATGTTTGTAAGCATGCTGTGTTACTAACTGCCTTCATTTTTAAAAATTCGTTAACAGTTTTTACATATTGCTGATTTTTCTTTAGAATGAAAAAGCCTTTCAAGACAATTTACAGAGTCCTGCTGCTGCCGTACCCAGCTTTAAAGAACAAATGTCTTTATTTGACGTACAATTTTCGGTAGCTTTAGTCAACCTATTGGATCAAATTAATGATCTCAACCGGGACAGCAGTGAACATGATAGACTTTTCAACTTATTATATAGGTAAATATGATGAACTCATGTTTTTTATTTATATTTTACTTCATTTTTGTGAAGTTTGAAGAGAAATTAACATTAAACCTTACTTCCTTTTCCTACTGATGTTCCTCTCTACTTTGGTGAGAAATTTACTAGTATAAACTTTGAAAATTAATTGTATTTTATTTGCAGGTTAGACTTCAACTCATTTTATACAGGTCAACTGCTGAAAAAGAATTTTGGTGGACTCAAAATTGGTTCATCTGGTTGAAGAATATTACGTCTGTATTTCCACCTGTATACTTTGTGGAGTTGTATTTTTTTTTTTTTTTTTTAATTAATATAAGATGCAGATGTTTGTACTTTTCTCTTTGTGATTTGAAATGGTTTTATGTAACATGGTTCCAGTGGAACTACATAAAGTAGGAAGATTAGGAAAAGGCATTTATTCATTACAGTTCACTAAAAATATGCATAGCTAAATAATACTTAAGTTGCATCCTTTTTTTCTCTTGTTCATGTGTGCTTCAGCTATTTTAGCAAAAGCTTCTTTATTGAGTAGCTTATATGAATTTGATAAAAACTGTGATATTGTAGAATTCAAACTGTCAATTCCATGATAGAGTAGTTCCCATCCAAGTTTTATACCTGTACCAAAATCGCATTCATCTAACGCTATGTTTGCATATGTAAGAACAGGTTGTAAATCAGATAAATATTTTGACCTTTGTTCTGGAGCTGCCTTTTCCAGTTTATTCAACAAAGTTATTAAATCTTTATCCTCCATTGCTAGATTACGATACCCTAATTGTGTTCTATAACAAATAATAATGAAGAAATAATTAGGTGTATCATGGCTTATCATCACTTTATATACTTACTTTTTATTATAGGGAACAACAAGTCCTATTTTGTTAAATGTTTTTGCAACGACCTTAAGCTGTCGTTCTTTCATTTGCTGACTATGTTGAGAAACATTTAAATTTAATGATTCGATTCTTTTGTTTAGTGATACCAATAATTTGCCTACTTGCAACTTTTTAAACGGATCTCCAGTTTTTTTTGTTTCCACTAAATACAAACTATGGAAGATATTAGTATAACCATAAACTAAGCATAAATTTATACTTACTGCAGAGCAGCAAAAATGTTGTCACCCATTTTTGTAAAAACTCCATCTTTTGTTCCATAATTACTAATTAAAAACACAGGGGGCTCATCAGGTGAATCATAAAAATACCCTATATGATATCCTGTACTATTATCATCTTTAATTACTGCAAAGACTTCTGGAGGATCATAATAATATCTCCAATGTCGTAAGTATTCTTCAGGTGATCTTTTAATGTGTTTGAACTTGTCAGCAAGAACATCATAGGGCCCTATTAGTTCTAATCCAACACTCTTTAAGGCTTCACTAGGAGCTGTTGGCTTTAATTCTTTACAGAAATCCCAAAAATCATAAAAATCTTTTGGCATATTTACCAGAAATCTAGCCCTGATAAATTCTTTTGGATTAAAAGGTTTGCTTGCAACCGTTTCATCTTTATTGTTATCTTGTTCACTCATTTGTGGTTTAGTGTCACCTTCGGGTGACTTTTCCAAAGTCTCTTCTGAAATATCGAGCTGATCCTTAATCAAAATTTTTTCGTTGACTATTTCATCATTTTGTTCAGAGTCACTAGAAGAGATACACTCCTTTTTCTGTTCTTTCTGACTGATGCTGCCAGAAGTTTCTTCATCTATTTCATGGTTGGTTTCTGCCGATTCTTGTGCTTCAACTTCTGAGTCTAATTTAACTTTTTTTAAAGGCGTTAACTTCATGTTATGCTACAAATTTTAGTTAAATGTCGTCAATGGCAATACATAGTTCATTACCTTTCTTTTTAATTTTTTTGGTAGATGTTTGTATTTTTCCAAATGCGCGGGATTTTTTTGGTAACATTTATCACCATACCTACATGGTATTCGAGAATCTTGCTTAAATTTTTCATATTCTGAAACACTTTCGGACATAATAGCCAAATATGTGACTGTTGGTAGATTTGGTATTTAGATTAATATTAAAATTTTGACCAATTCTTCGTCCCTGTTGGACGTAAATTTTTGTTAGGTTAGGAATAATTGACAGTTGACACAGAACACTACTGTGCACTACCACAGAACAGTCAATTTAAAGAAGCGCGATGCAACAAATTAATGTCAACGAACTTTTCAGTCACCAGTATAAGTTTCGCCCTCCTGTATACTAGTTCTTCTTCTTCTTTGGAACAACCAAAGAGGTTTTATTTGTACTTCTACTCAATATCTTTGGGAACAACCAATTGACATTTATATTTTATATACTACGCAATAGAAAGTAGTGCTAGCACTGGTGCTAGTGCTAACAACGTTCAAGTATATAGTCTGTGATTCAAGTTTAAAACTATTATGCCATTAGCGCTAAATTTAATAGTTTTTAGAGAGATTTTGCATAGCGTTTTTCTAAAAGACGTATACGCTAACGTTTGGGCTACTGTGGTTTGGGTTGCTTAGCTAGCTTGCTATTTAAAAGACGTAATTACGTCCGCTAAATTAGCGGACGGATAATTTAACTGTGATTTAACGTAGGTCCGTCTAGTTCCGTTGCACTAAGAAAATCAGTTGTATTCAATCTGCGATAAGTTAAGAGTTTTTTTAGCCATTCTTAGGATCATTATTAACATTTTTTGAATAAGATTTGTCAGGAAAATTCATTTTGGAGCAAAACTGCAAACTTTTCAAACATGCACTATTGTAGGTATTTTCTATTGCTTGCGCAATGAAAACTGTCTCACATACGACAAAACTGTGTAAAATGAGGCTACTTTAGCATTTGTTGTTGCCCCTGTACATCGTACAGTCGTAACGTTTTGCAAAAACTCTCAATTGTAAATCCCGTTATTTAATACGTCCGTCTTCGAAGACGTAAGGTTAGCGTTAACTCAACTTTGTCGTACGTATAGTTACGGCTATACTTACGTTAATTGACATAAATTTGTGTATATGTATAATGTTACGCTCTTATTGTGTTATGTCTTGGACTAATAATGTTACATACAATTACAAGTTTCCTTGATATTTTTAACAAAATTCTATTTATTATTATTAGTTAAAAATTATATACGCAACCAACAATACTATATTAACCCCATTCACATAGCAAAAATTAGTAGAAAACGAACATAGGAGTTGTACGCTTTCTCATTGAATACGACTGTACAGTGGCCCCAAAAATAAAGTGAATATACTGTTACGTTGAACGGGTAATTAAAATCGGCGTGGGTTAAACTCAACAATTTATTTCTTAGTAACTCAAATTTACACCACTAATTACACAACGATTATGTACAAAAATAATTCCGGCGCAACTTCCAGAAGGTGGCCTCTACTTAAAGTCATACTCTCCTTTTAGAAGTTTCATGATCCAGGTCTTTGTGGAATCCATCGTGACTTCCGCTTCCAGACCTTTCTCTTGCGAGCGCCGGCCGCTGTCCTCAACGATGAGTCATTTCCGTATACACTAGAAAGTTGTCGATGGCCCATAGACGTCGTACCCGGACGGTTCGTAAGAATACATTAATAATGACATTTAATACAAATTTGAAAGATATACACTAGGGAAAAAAGTGTTCTACTTTATTTTGGCCGCCACTGTATGTGTGTAACGTTAAAATAAATGTAAAATAGCGCGCTGCGCATAAGTTTCAAATGAGTTTTCCGTTCATAAAATTTTGTGATGAGGTCATCAACATTTTTTGCAGAGACGCGTATTTTACTTTGGATAGGTGCAACGTAATACCTTACTAATGATGACAGTATTATATTTCCAAATTTTCAAAAAAATGGTGTTAACCGTTCCCTATTTAACCAATTAAATAAATTGACTCATCCATTAATTGTTTGAGTCACCCTGGATAAGTAATTCTAAAAACTATGAGTGCGTTGATAAACTACCAGTATGCAGTCATAATATTTTGCATATTTCAGAGAGGATTTATTTGACCAAATTTTGAGATGGCGTCATCAATTTTTTGGGAGGGGATAAACGAATACTTTTTGCTTAACGATTTATCATGATTACGTTAATTTTAAAACGTTTGCAAAATTCTAAGATAAAAATTCAACACGGATTCATACACCACAAGTGCAAGAGTATCTTATTTTATAGAATTAAAAAAAAAAACTTACTATTATAAATCTTGGAGATGACGTCATCCAATAGGTAGTGGGGAAGATTAGCCAAATTTTACTTAGCGTTTAACCATCTACATGATATTCTTAATATACATACAAAAATTTGACAATTGGTCCTGTAGTTTCGGAGATTACGTGTCAAATAAAAATGGATACAAACACCAGATAGACGGAAACGAGAGACCACTTTTCTCGTACTCTAAAACCGAAGACGAGTGCGCAAATCTGCGGAGTGAAGAAAAGTCACTTTACTCACGAGTTGCATACAAAATTTTGTTCACGTTCGTAACAAAGCTCAACAACCACCTACTTCAAAAACTTTTTATTTTGGATCATATCTAGATTATCTAGGTATTAAATGTAGCCGTACTTGCCGTCTTGACAATTCTTCAGGGGTGCACGAGAAATCTTCGTCGCTTCCATTGTGCGAGCACACAAATTACCACAAAACACCGAGTAAACTGATACAAATTGGATGCATTTTAATTTCTGACAAATGTGTTGATGAATCGTCATAGCAGCGGCAGGCTTCTATGTTTTGCTTTTGAATGTCTTCCGTTAAAAAATGGCATGCTACGACACATTTTTTCATTCAAATGCGTTAAAAATTAAACTGGATGACACTTTTTTCACGCTTTTAATGCAATGAAAAAAACGTATCCTTTATATACAAAAATTAATAATAGCTATTTATGGTATAAGTGAATAAAAGTGAATTTTATGCAACGAAAAAACAGTTTAGCACACGAGGCGAAGCTGAGTGTGATAATGTTTTTGAATGGATAAAAATCGTTTATTCAGGTGTACCTATCATACAAGATTTTTTCCAATTTCGCAAAATTTTTCAAAAAATTTATTGTTTAGGTAATCCATATACATAAATATTAATTGTATTATTACTAATATGATGAACGTTTGAAGAAGGTAAATTGCCTAAGCTGCCTGTACTTTCGATAAGTGGCCTCGTGGTCCAGTGGTTAGGATACTTGCCCGGAGAGCGAGAGGCGTGGTGTTCGAATTCCACCGAGGCACAACATTTTTCTCTGCTTACTTACATGCCAAATAGTGGTTATGCTTGCTGAAACACATTTTAAGGCATGTACCTTTCTCTAGATTGTCGGTTTCTCAACTGCCTGACAAACTGTTGGTCGTAGATAGAAAATAGTAAGACTACAGTGTCCGCCCCCTGTAAATAAAAAGCGATTGAGCAAACATCAGAGAAGGGCGGCATTTTGCAGTGAGCGAAATGCGGTACTTACTGCAGTCATTTACATATTTGTTGATTTGTTGTTATCGTTGAAGTGAAACCATTTATAGAGTATTCTTATGAAATAAACCCATACGTCGCCCTGGTACGATGTCTATGGGTTTTCTAGTATGTGCGGCGATGATGGGTGACTCATTGTGCTAATGAAATGAGAACCACCATCGGGAGCAGTCAGTGTAGTTCAGGCAATGGGAGAAGTAGAGCCTAGTGAAATCTACTCCAGTCGAGTCCGAATTATTGTGTACATAATCGCTGTGTGATTAGTCGTGTAAATTTGTTGTAACAGTATTAAGTTTGCGGAAATTGTTTGCACTGTTACGGAAATTTCATTCTCCATTTAAACTTTTATTGGCAATAACGAGACGGACAGTTGTACAATAAGCAAGAGATATTTACAAATTAAAGTTGTCTCGTGCCGGAAGTCTGACCCTGTGCGTACAACTAGCGCCTAAATGTTCTCTGACAAATTTGGGTGAACTGGTGTGAGCCATAAATATTTCTTACAATTGTACTATTGTCCGTCTCGTTATTGCCAATAAAATTTTATAGGGTAGAATGAAATTTCCAAAACAGTAATTCCACCCGATATTTTATGTTTTTATTGTGCTAATGCACGGTACTACAGTGATCAACATGTATTTATTTTGTTGTTAAAAAATGAGCTTTTCGGGAAATAAATTGGGTTTTCTTGTATATATTAATTATAGCCTTTTTCATTACCTAATACTTGCGAGCGACGACCGTATTACCTGATATGGCGTGGCCGTGGTAGGATCGAAAGAATACTGTAGGCGGAAGAACACATTTTGGAACTCGTCGAAGAAAAGCCCGAGATCAGCACTCGCCGACTTGCAGCTGAAGTTGGGGTTTCACAGTCTGTAGTGCATCGTACATTAAAAGAACAAGGCCTACATCCATACCACGTTCAAAAAGTGCAAGCATTGGAGCCCGCTGATTTTCCACGTCGTGTAATCTACTGCGAATGGTTGTTACCCGGAGTTTTTTTACGTATCCGTGAAAACATGTTGCGCCGTGTTGAATCCTGTATTGCGAGTCAAGGACGACATTTTCAACATTTATTGTAAAAAGGTAGTAGTATTCTAGTTCGCTCTTATTTTTGTTGCAATAAACCATGCAGAATCGTTGTGGCAAGGACCAAACATCCGTCAGAAGCAACAGTCCCCCTGCAGCATTACCAAAAATCGGTCCTTTTTAGGACCACCATTTGTCCTCCAACGAATAATCTTTCGCACTGACTTTTTACGATGAATGAATGCATGAATGAGGGAATCATAAGCAGCAAAAAGTCGGTTTTACTTTTAATGGAAACTGAAAGTGTTTACGTCGTTTTTATTCGAACGTTTTTCCAACTCTGTTTACAAGGTGGCTCAGTGCCTTCGTATCGAGGATGGTTCATGGGGGTTTTGCCCCATTCGATTTTTAATTTGTTTTTTCTATATTTCGACTCTACTAGGGTGGGGGATGCCGTGGTTAAAATATTTGCATATATTTCGCAGTCACCCTGTATTGCAAACATTCAAACTTTCGTGTGAGTTTGGGTTTTTTAATGACTATATCATACAAAATAAATTTCTATGAGTAAAATTCACATTTTAGATATTCTAAAAATTTGTATTTTCATTGAATGTGATTCTGAGATGTGAGGTCCCTTATGAATACCTTTAAGAAACGCCACTGAGCGCCAGCCGTATTGAAGCATATTTTATTGGTTTCACGCATTTTGGCGCGGAATTGTTTATTTGAGCTTTCACTTAGTTATTATATTCATTCGTCCATGGTCTATACTCTATAATGATAAACTTAACTACCTTTCAACAACTCCATAATTGTATGTTTTTAGGCTACTATTGAAAAAAACTTTATTTTATGTAGTTGAAATACTTGGATATTTATAAATTTTAATTTTAATTTGCGGAAAATTTAGGAAATCAACTATAAAGATTATTCCAGTTTTTGTTACAGTAGCGTTTAGAATAAAAAAAGCTCTACCTCACTGAAGCTTGTTGTTTTATCACAGCTGTGGGATGTAGGTGTGCGTTTAATACTTGCCGTCGTTCGATTGTAGACGCTTGCGCCTTGACGCCATCGCTTCTCAGTAGTGACTGTCATGTCGAAATAAATGAACATGTTTTTAAAAATCTTGGGCAAAATCGACTTTTGGACAATAAATAAAGGTGTATCATCCGAATTAATGACGTAAAACGTCAAAATTAAGAAGCCAAAATTAACTAAAATTTCGCAGTGTAATTACTGTTAACAGTTAAAATATTTGTTATTTTTTTAATAATAGATTTAGGGAATTCTAAAAATGTGATGTTAACAGTCCGACGATGAGTAAATTATTTTAGTAATTTACGTCTTGCCCAACGTTTCAATTGCAAATACTAAAAATAGCACTTGCGAGTTTGTTAGAAATGTGTTCAAGAACGGTGAATTTTTCAACGTTTGCGAAACATACTTGTTACTTTGGTATAACTCGCGTCCGGGTAGAAACAGTGTGAACTTTTCAAACTTTGTGGCTTTAAATTTTGCGAGGTTTGTGATATGAACGGAAGAAAAAATTTGGTTATGTTATTTCCATGTTTTTAATATGATAGGTAAGTCAAAATTTTTTATGTTTTTTATTTAATTCAAAAATTGCTAGCATTTATTGCTTAAGACCATGCTGTTTTTGAATCTGCATCATTTATCAAACTATTTTAAATATGATAATTTGGTGTGATATACGTGTACAGTGGACAATATTTATTATAATCAATTGAGTTACTGATTTATGAACACAAGTACAAATAATGAAAAAAGTAAATTGTGAAGCGTTGGTACTATCTGTGAATGTTAATCATCAAATAATTTCCAAATACCTGCACTTTGTAAATCCAATCGTATCATCCAAGTCATACCGTGTGTTTTAAATTCAAACAGTATGCTTTTCCAGCCATAAAGATGAATTAATTACGAGGGGGTATTGAAAAATAGCCGGTCTTACTGCTTTACGATACGTAAAACCGAAGGTAGTTACCATGACAACGAGTGACAAATAGTTTAACAAATAGTTCTCCTAATTTTGGTGATGAAAATCCAACCAATTCCACATTGTCAATTTTTAAAGAAAACTTGAAAAATAAAAAATCAATTTTGAAAAAATTGAAAATCGGTCGGTGAATTGGGACCTTTTTTGAATGGGTTGTCTGGCAAGAGAATGTATGCGTACATAGTGGATATACTGAAGGATCATCATCCTTCAAACGCCATACAAAAATATAGCTTGTGTAATTTGAGAGATCGAAAACAAACATCAACAATGAACAGCGTGTTATTAGGAGACTGTTTCTGTATCCACTGCTGTAGAAAATAATACCGTTTATATAACCCGTTAAATACACTTGTAAATTTTGAGTGACAACTGTTAATTTGTACAGAATTGTAAGCTGCGTTGACTAGGACGATTATGTAGTTTGAATTAACAATAAAACGTATTTAAATAATAGTTTAAAACTGTGATGAATGTGAAAATCAGTTAAATCTATGTTAGTTGTAATAGCCGCTAACTTCAGAGGAGTATTATTTAATCATTTTACTTTTTATTAAATTTTGGTAAGTCGTGATTTATCCATTATTAGGTGGTAGTATGTGCCGTTTTAAGACGTATAACGAGGTATGTAGGTACCAGTTTGTGTGTAACACGCACATACAAATCAATTAATTAATTTTTTTAGCCACCTGTATAAGAAAATTTAAAAAATTGGTACAAGATTATTTCAACAGAATTTCCCTCGCCCATAAAGAACAGTACATCAAATCCAGCAGTTTCGAAAAATAAAAGATTTTATTTATTTTTTAATTCTGTTTTTATGAATAAATATAACAGTTGATAAGTTAAAATAAGGATATGTATGTAATGTTCACGTAAAGGTAAACAAGCGTGCTACTCGTTTGTTTCAAGTGAGTTTTCCCATTGCAAAATTTTGTGATGACGGCATCGATATTTTGCAAGGACACTGTTAAGGTGGTTAAAGTAAATCTTGAATAATATATTGTAATAGAACTTAAAATCTTTATTTTCTCCGAAGTTTACAATCTTGTATTTTTGTAATGTTATTTAATAAACCTTGTTTTCCCGTTGCCCCGGAAAATACCGCACTCCCTGCTTTGTAAACCCAACAACTTCTATCTTTCCCCGGGAAGTCATGCATTCATACATCAGATGACGATCCAACAGCCATCATGCAATTTGTAACAATCCATTTTAACGCCACGTACGATGACAATTTATTACCACTTCGAAGAATAAGAATATTTAATCAAGCAAAATAATTTCTGCCCTAAATTAATTAAGCAAATTTTGTAATTTGGTTTATATGGCGCTTCTAATTATGTGCCGTCTCTAAGTTTAATTAAATAAATTGTTTCCTAATTTCTCTGCAATACTCCCAGATTTCCACTTGGTTTTGCCAAAGTAATCTCTAACTAAGACCTTGTCTATATGTACAAGTGGTATGTGATCTGTAGGAAGTGTAAATACTGGTAGAATTTTTTAACACCAAAAATTATACTGTAGGCTTCCTTGTCAATTTGAGAATATTTCTCTTTGGTGCTTGAAAGTGTTTGAGAAACTGTAAAGGTCTTCCTAAACCATCAAGACATATGTGTGAAAGAACAGCAGCAACAGTAACAGAACTTGCATCTGTAGCTTGAATTAATTTTAATTTTGGATTAAAATAAGCTAATACTTTATACGATTGATTTTCATTTTTTATTTTTTTAAAAGTCAATTCAAATTCTTTTGACCAATTAAATTCAACTTTATCTTTTAGTAAATTCGTAAGTGGTATAGTAAAATTGTGCTTCAATTTTTTATAAATCTTCCGTGAGAATTAACTAACCCAATAAAAGGTCTTATTTCTGATTTATTTAGTGATCTTTTAGTATTTAGTCTTTTTATGGCAAATTTGTCACATCACATAACCACAATATTCTATAAAATCTTTTAAAAATGTACATTTGGTTACATTTACACGGATGTTATGTGCAGCTTAACGTGATAATACCTTAGCCATTCTTTCAAGATGAAGTTTATCATTTTTAGCGCTGTAATTTTGATATTATCCAATAAGACTGATACACCAGGTATATCCGTTAAATTTTTTTCTGTCACGTTGAAAGATTGCAGGTGCACTTGCAATACTAAACATTAATCTGGAAGATTGATATGAGGGTTTAAAATAAGATATTTTCTAATTGTAAGTAAGCTTGTGCCAAATCAATTTTTGTAAAACGTTGACCACCTGCCATAGAAGCAAATAAATCGTTCAATTAAGGGAGGTCTTTTAAAATCACCGTAAATTCTCACCCTCATTCGATTTAACAATAGGGACGATTGGTGTTGCATTATCAACTTTAGTTAAAACTCCTTGTTCTAATATTTCAAGTTCTTTTTCAATTTTTGGTTTTAATGCAAATGGCACTTTCCGTGCTTTACAAAAAATGGTTTAACATTGTCACGAATTTTTTCGAATGTTTTTGTACAATCGATGATAGAGCCTGTTTGCTTTCTTCTGACGAATCGGTGAAATTTCATCTAAAGAAATTCCTAACTGTCTTATCCATTCTCGACCTGAGATAGGTTTACGATATCCTTCAATTATATATAAGTTAGTTTTAGTAAAATTTTTGTAATTAACTTGTACTTCCATAAATCCCGTAACTGATGATTCAGTTTTATAATAGCTACGAGTAATCAATTTCAGTTTCGTTTCATGAATTTGGAAATTTGTAAAGTATTCAGAAAAATCATGAATTTTTATCAGACTTTGCCTGTTTCAAATGTGACATTCATTTTATTTGCATTTAATGTAGTAGTGAATTTATTTCTAAAATTTGTACGTTCGACTGTTAGAATATTCTACCTGATTAGCTTCTCGAAATTCTTTATGTTGCGGTACTCGTTTTAAGTTGAAACATACCTTTTTAATATGCAAAAATTACAAATCAAATTACGTTTAGGACAACAGTTTGCAAGATGACGGTTGTCTCCACATTTGAAAGATAGAAGTTGGATTTCTCTTTTTGTTCAAATTTAGTCTTACGTTTTACGCAATGAACATTCACACTTTTCGATCTTTGTATCTCCGCCACATCTTTGGATGAAATTTCCATCGAGTTCTAAAGCCTTCTCTCTAAAGTTAAATTCGTAATTTCCATTAACCTTTTATGAATTTTCTTTGAATGCAAACCAAAAACTAATTGATTCCTTAAAGCTGTCTTCAGGTAATCGCAAAATTTACATGTTGTAGCTGATTTTTGCAATGCTGTTAAAAATTCTTGGACTGCTTCACCGTCTTCATGCTTCCTTTGTAAAAATTTGAAATTTTTGGTTATTTCTAAAGGTTGAAGATCGAAAGGGTTCAGCAAAATCTCTACAAGTTCTTTATAATTCTCATTTTCAGGATTTAGAGGCGAAATCTTATTGCATAATATGTCGTGCGTTTTTTCTCCCATACTAAACGACATTTCCTAGGAATTTCAATAACCAGATCACAACTGCTTCTAATTCCGCTTATTAAATAGAATATTGCATTTTATTTTGATTTTCGATGTTGTAATTCACAATTAGTTGGTTATAATTTGTCTAGGACTAGGAGAGGCAAAAATTTCTCTAGGGGAGGCTCAGCATCCCCTGGCCTTCGCTAGCTGCGGCCCTGTCTAGGGGTCACAAAACGTCGAGAAAATATGAAAGTTCCAAGTTGCCCGATGGACTCCACTACTATACTTCCTTAACTTACGCTCAGTAAGTAAAAATGGCCCCTCAGTAGTAATAAAATAACCTAAAGTAAGTATTTATGTTTATATTTATCGGAAGAATGTCACGTAAAAATTAAGTTTGATTTGAATGAGTTGGTCGCCTCAAAAACGAGGATTAAAATTATTAACCAATAATAAGTAAGCAAGAATCGAACACAGTGTTCTGAATATGATTATTATAATTCTTATTTAATCATTATTAAATAAAGACGTGCGTATTCTCACATTTTCGAGAAAATGGGGTGACTCGGTCTTAATTTGGTCAATAAAAAATGAGAGAGTTATTAGTTTTATTAAATTTATTTTATGTAATGAAAAGAAATTGGTCGAAGGTTACTTCGTTAGAACTTCCTTCGCCCTTGAAGTACAATAACACATTATCCAGCGTTTTTGAAAAATTATAAAATTTGATTTTGCGAATTTCATTTTTTTTATGAGAACCCCTAGAAGTTAAAATAAAGATATGTAGGTAATGTTGAAGTCAATGTAAAGAAGCATGCTAAGGGTATATTTCAAATGAGATTATCTTTTATAAAATTTTGTGATGACGTCATCCACATTTGTGTAAGCACATGGATATCAATTTGGATTAGTGCCGTGTAATATGAACAATAGCAGTATTGTGTTCCCAAATTTTCGGGAAAATAGAGTGACCTGTTCCTGGTTTAATCAATAAAATAAATTGACTCATTGATTAATGTTTTTTAGTCACCCGGTATAAGTAATTCTAAAAAATATAAATTTCGTGATAAATCACAAGGATTGACTCATCCATATTTTGCCACATTTTTGATAAGATTTATTCAGCAAAATTTAGAAATGATGTCATAAATTTTTTGGAGGGGATAAACAGATACATTTTGATTACAAATTTACTATGCTTACGATAACTTTAAAATGTTTACAAGATTCCAAAGCATTTGGTTTTGCAGCTTTTGATTTAATAAATACAATAAATTGAAACATTGATTAATTTCTTTGAGTCACCATGTGTAAGCAATTGTAAAAAATATGAATGTAATAATAACTCACAAGTATAGACTTACCATATTTTACACATTTTCGATTTAATTTATTCGGCAAAATTTTGAGATAGCCATATTTTGAGTGCAAATTTACCATGCTTACGATGACTTTAAAATGTCTGCAAGATTTCAGAGCATTCGGTTTTATAATTTCTGATTTAATCAATAAAATAAATTGACTCATTCATAAATTCTTTTAAGCCCGCATGTATAACCAATTCTAAAAACTATTAATAGAATGATAAACCACAAGTATAAACATATTTTGCACATTTTAGGTTGGATTTATTTGACAAAATTTTGAGATAACGTCATCAATTATTTGAAAGTGTAAACGAATAAATTTTGTTTAACGATTTACCATTATTACGATAATCTTAAAACGTTTGCAAAATTTCACAGCATTCGGTTTTGCAATTTCAAAATTAAATTGCGAAATGTTATATAATTATGCATAAACATAGGTATCATAATAAAAAATCGATCACCATGAAGCATTACCAAAAATCGGATCTTCTCAGGACCACCATTGGTTTCTACAACTAATAATTATAACACCGTGGAACAGTGTTTTTGTTACATATATTTTGTAAACATGGTTGGAAAGGTAATTTTGTGCTGCACAACTCTTAATAGAGATAATATACCCATGTCGTCAAAAAAAAAATTATTCAAATTTTTATTGTCGATCGGTGAACAATTAGAAAAATGATGTGAATTCTAATTTTACATAGAAAAACGCGCAAGAAGCACTAAAAAAATGTTCCACAGATTTCTGCCTAGAATATGTAGAAGGATCTAACTCTTATTATCAGCAAAGAAATTTAAATGAGACATAATTTGTGGAACGTTTGTTTCCTAAAAATTCACTGACACTAAGCTAATTCACTGTAATATTTTAGTTTATACCTTGGTTTATGTTAGCAGCAGAAAGCTTAGGAAATATTGTTTTCAGATATTGAAATGCTTTCTCTCTTGTATTTCACTTGCATAAGAAGCACATATGCTTGGTATATCCAGATTGGAAACCAGTTACTAAAGCTACAATTTTTAAATCGTCTATCAAATTGCACTCAAACTTTTTGTTGCTAATACAGTTTAACAAGTGTTGAATATTCTCATATGTTTTTGCAGTTTGTATGGAATATGCAGTCGGCAGTAGGTACTAGATATTTATTCCCATTATGCAATAGTACACCTTTAACTGGAAATATCTAGGAACAATCTCCAAACAAATTTTTTTGACGACGTAGGCATAATGTCTTATTAGATAGTTATTCAGCACAAAATAACCTTTCAGAATCCATTTTCAGAATGCTTGTAACAAGAAATTTTTCTAAAATTATTTGACTGTGTAATCTTTCGAGTTGACCTTTAAAGGTGCATGAAACGGAAAGTGTTTACATCATTTTTATTCGAACATTTTTCCGTCTACTATTTAAAAGGTGGATCAGTGGCATGGCATCGAGGGTGGTGCATGTGGATTTTGCTCCATTCAACTTTTAATTTGTTTATTCTATATTTAGTTAGTTAGATCTGTGTATTAGTTTGAATTAAAATCAATTAAAAATATTAATATACAATTTATTTTTCTCTAAGAAGTTTGGGAAGAATTGATAAGCTACACTTGCCGGTCTTGGCCTGAAATGTGCCATTTCCTGTACTCAAATTAATCACGTAAAGTACCTAATACATACATGTAGCGTTCCTAAACCGCCCCAACTTTTCCCTCTTTGGGTTCGCGGCTACCTCTAATTTACTCTTCATTTTGGTGATTCCTCAGTCACCTCTAATAACGACTGCCCAATTGCTGAGCGCTTTCAGGCCATCCTGGCAGGCATTCCTGATTCGTTCATCATTTAGACGGATGGCTCAAAGACAACAGAAGGCGTTGGTGCAGCTTATGCTATTCCATCAGGTGAACAGCTTTATCGTCTACCAATCTCTGCTGCAGTCCAAGATGATTCTTTGCGTAACACGCCACATCATAACATCGTCATCTGTACTGACTCCATGAACTCCTTAAAACTGCTGAGCCAAATGTATCCAACCTGCGTTCTAGGACAACAAATCCACTACCAACTTGCTCTTCTCCACCAAGCCGGCAAAGACATTCATTTCCTCTGGACTCCATCTCATCAAGATATTGATGTTAACGATCAAGCCGATGCAGCTGCTAAACTCGCAATCACCCATCCAACCTCTACGTTGATTTCACATTCTACGGGGATGAAATTGTCTTAGCACGTCTTCGACTAGGGCACACCAGACTTACGCATTCTTGCCGATTCACTGCCAACATCTTTTTATCTTGTTCAACCTGTAGTGTGCCTCTCACGGTTGAGCATCTGTTAACACCCTGTACCAAGTACACTACGCACCGAACCATCCTAGGCTCGGATCTTACTCTCGAGGGTCTTCTAGCGAACTCTTCTTCAGCAGAAGATCGAACACTTAGTTTTCTTAAGGCAACCCAGCTGTACTCACAAATTTAATCTGTTTTTTGTTCAACTTTATTGTACTGGAGACTAATAACCCTGTGCGGTTGATGTCTTCATCTTTTTAAAATAAAAAAAAATACATGTAGCGGACAGTATGAAACAAATTACTCGTCCATAAAAACATGTAGGTACTATTTTTTGCAGCTACTATGTCGTTTTGTTTAAATATTAAATCATCATCATAGCTATGTGAACACTTCAACGCCGATTCTGTAGATAAAACCTAGTTGTAATATAACGCGTCCTCAATTCGTACTTTACGTCAGAATCCCTTTTTCAAAAGCTCTGTTCTCATTAGAAATGCTTTACGTTTGAAAAGATTGCTGTAAACTTTTTTCTAGATAGTTAAAGCGAGATATACCTATGTTCCGTTATTAAAAATTCAATTAAGCTCAATTTTGCACAACGGGAACAGGAGTGCAACAAACTTTGGTGTTAATGCTTTTGCATTATTTTGTATTTTGTATCTATAATTAATTTTTTTTTTTAATAAAGATACTGATAAGATAAAATAATAACGTAGCAGGATAATTATTAGTTTATCTGTGGTATAAAGTGACTGAAGGTCATATTCGTCATAATAGACGCTTACTACGGAATCAACTTCATCATGCTTCGCTTTAGAGCTTCGAGACATCGTTACCATAACAACGCGAGATTTTCAACCGACGTAATATAGGATTTTTAGAAATCGATTTTATTTATATCTATGTATTGTAAAAGCAACTGTAGTTGCAGTACAATACTTGTTTAAAGACCACTTGATACTCGAGCATACATGTGGTAATCAAATTAAAAATAACTCTCTCATATCCTGTTTTATTAATACCAAACTTAAATATTTTATTGAGTCGGAGTGAATTTATTAGTCTGACTGAATAATTTTACATGTCTGTAGGGTTCAACATAACGTATCTGCATTTTTGAGTATTGGACTTAAAATTATGATTGGACTGTTTTAGAAATACGCCTTTCCGAACAATGCACTTGATAACCAAATTCAGATGTATTTTACGACGGACAGCAATGCAATGGTAATCTAATAATAAACTTCTATAGGTAACCTTCCAAAAGAAATTTATTTTATAGTTTAGGACGCGTTTGTTTAAAGGTTCACTTGGTATTTTTAGAAATTTCTGTGTTTGTAATGTTTCTGTAGTTTATTTTACTAATTCGGTGTTGATAACGATAGACGTTTTTATGTGAAAAATTATTTCGCTAATTTAAACATACATTAAAAGAATCCATTTATTAGTATTGTTTATGTAGAGTAATGATTTTTTTAATTCCATTACTGGCGTCACCTAAAAGACAGACAATACACATTGAGTTGAAAAAAATTGGTCGAAAGTTATTTCGACAGAACTTCCCTCGTCTTTGAGTACAAGTCTACTTTTTCGAAAATCATTTGATTTTGCGAATTTAATTTTTTTATCATAACCCTTATAAGTTAAAATAAA